CTCCCCACTTACCAACCTCATGCCCTCCCCACACCTGCTACTGGCCATGGCCCTGGAACCACTCCAACTGCTATTGCTCACAGTTGCCTGTCCCCCCTGCCAAATGCCTTTAATTACTATGCATTTAGTGGAGAAGAGAAAAAACTTCTTATATGAAAAGCATTGGAAATGTTTCACTGTAAGAAGTTTTATGTGAATAGAAGCATCAATACAAAGAATGTAGTACAAACCTGTCTAAGGCCTATTTTCTTACTGTCCCACATCTGTTTGAAGTTCCAGAAAAAAGGCTGGTCACACTTTTGACAAGAGTCACTGTCCAACCACTCAGGTGTCTGTAACACAAAACAATGCTTTTAGATGGAAAAACTTCATGCAGGCATCTAACAATAGAACAAGGGGTGTGGATTCCATTGTAGTATAATTATATTTAGATGAATTTGACTAGAAACAAGTCATTTGAAGCCTTCCCAGAGATTTATGTTGTGCTGAGCTCTGTACTCTGAAAGCTTCTTCAGGATTAAGATCCTGTACCAGACACATCAATCTGATTAAATTGTGAAAATAAAGGGCCAACTCCCCCCCCCACCCCCCCCAAAACACAAAACAAAACTGGGATGTTTAAAATTACACATCTAAGAAATGAAAGTCCTGTCTGAGCAGTGCTGAGCACCACCTGCTGGCTGCAGCAAGTTAAAAGTACTCCAAATTTCCAGAATTGGGATGCCTCATTTTTAAGTGGCAGTGTTGGAAAGTTTTGCCCCATTTTTAAAAAAAATTTTAACTGGTATTTCTGATCTTACTGCTGCCAAACCAGCAGAAGAATCCCCCAGATAATCAGTTTCTTGTCCTGTGCCTAACACTTATGCAACAAAACCTTGATGTTTGCAGTAAAGAATTTCCATTTTCTGGTGCAACATGGCTTTGCTCTTCATGCTATAAAGAGAAGTGGGCAAGAAACTCTAAAGGCATATCCAAAATACTGCCTGTTCCCCACAACAGCCCCGGGTGTAGGGAATAGTAATTTCCTTATTTTTAAGCAAGAAACAAATTTGGCGCCTCACTTCTGTCCACACCAGTGTTTTGCTCACATGCTCTCTGCTGGTGCACACTCTTAAGCAGATATTACCTTGTGGGTTCTCTTCTCTACCCTCACTCTTCAAGACAGTGACAACAATTCAAGTGTCCTTTCACATCAATGCGTATTAACTCATTTAGACCTAGCCCTGATTACTAGAAGAGAACTGTTTTAGGAACATTTCAGTTAAATATAGTCATAATGGATTGCAGTGTCAACCCTTCAGCCCCACACCACCTTGATCTAGCCCTGAGCTGCTCTGATCTGACTTGACTGGCTCCTGCCCTCCACAGGTCTGGAAAATGTGGACAGGTAGCAGCAATTAACACTGCCACCACTCCCCCACCACCAAATTTTCAGAACTGTGGGAGACCTGGTGGGCTGAATAAGAAAGCTCTGCAGGCCAGATTTGGTCAGTGAAAAGGAATGAAATACACAATTTTGTGATTAAATAAGATCAGGCTAGAATACAAATACAGAAAAAGCCAGCGAAGTAGAATTGATGACAGCCTGAGGCACTGCTCCAGCCTTCTACCCAGGAATGAGTTAAGAGAACTGTTGATCACAGCTTGCTTCTAGTGTATGCTAGAGGCAGGTGCTTTAGAGGGTAGACCCTGCTACTGACCATTTCTCAGGCACTCTTTAATTAATTTGAAGTCTGTAGATTTATATGAGTGAACTACACTATCATCTCCTAAGCCCTTGAACACTGCATTTCAAAAAGGTACACTGCTTGTGACAGCAACTGCTCTACAGTCCAATGAAGAATGAGCTTCTATCATCTTTCAAGTATCCCTTTCCTATAGGCTTAGATGGAGATAAAGGAGTAAAAAAAATACATTTAAATAATGGCTTAGTCTCTCTCTTTAGTGCAATTCGAGAGACCCGATAGGAGTGGTAACATCAAAGCAAACACTAAAGCATACATTAAGTAGAAATATCTAATCAGTAAGAGATGCAAATGCTAAACCAGAAAGAAACATTCAAGAAAAGTGTGCCAAGAGCCCAGAGCAAAATATTGTACATTAAATCCTAAGGGTTTATGTTTTAGAATTAGTTTAGCTTAATATGCTCCCTACTGAGCAACTGATTATGGCTAGCCTGGCTCATTCTTGTATTTAAAAGATTGTATTTACACCTGCTGCTAAACACTGATGGAACTAATTGTATTTCTTATCCTATTTTCAACCAACCTCAAGTAATAAAAGCATTTTGTTTTGTAACAAAGTGCTTCAATTTGCACCTGTGAAGTCTCTTTCACCAGATAATAAAAAACATTATTTCTAGGTGTTAAAATTGCATCAATAAAGGAAACATCTGTCAGGAGGGAGGAAGCAGCTCAACTTGTGCCTTACTTTTGAAGCTGATGACATCACTGACAATTGCATCAGCAATTAAACGGATTGTCAACTTGAATACTAATGAATTTTGGTGAAAAAGTGGTAAAAAGTTTGCTGCCCCTTCCAGTTGCCATGGTTTTACAATCCCATTTTTCACATTGTTCACAAACAGGGGAAGAATCTTGCTGGGAAACGGTGAAACCAATTTTCCCCAGTGCTGGCAAATATATAGAGCAAAACAGAAAATAAAACCTAATTTCCCTACCATCTCTACTTCTCTAAACTCATTCAGTTATAGTAATGAGGTGTCACTTGTAATAAGAGTAAGCAAGAAGAGTGATTTTTATGTCAGCGGTGTCCCTTTCAGGCATAATTCCACACTACAAAGAGTGACTAAATAGAACCTCACTTTTCTCAAAAAACAACCTCCTGTAGGTATTTAGGGCCATGAGAGAACGTAGACAAGGCCTTAAGCACTAAAGCATAAGTAGAGACTGCAATTCGATGTGGCTGAAGTCCATAGGTGCAGCAAAGTACAAACTGATGCTTTGCAAAGACTGATTTGAGTCTGGGTTTAACACATTTTAGAGTAAAGGTAGGTCAATTTAGCTGTATCAGCTCAGTTAATGCAAATCCTGTACATCTTTGTATACAGTGTTGTTACCGCTATTATGAAGCAGGTGCAGGATAAGGTAACCCTGACTTCCTTTTTCTTCCTGCCAGAGATGCAAAGCTGATGCAGTTACAAGCATGTAACAAGACTCTATAATCTTTCTTGTGCCTCAAAAGAAGATCCAATTAGTTACATCTGTGCCAAGCTATTAAAGGTAGGTAGGTTACACAGGTGTCAACTAAGGCTATAATTTAATGATTTTTAACATGAATAGGAAAAAACTGGCAAAATGTCAGCTGATTATCCAGAACTGGTAGTTTCTCTCTGTTTTTGGTTTTTAAATCCCATCCATTATTTTTACTTGTAAAATCATAGTATTTCTTATTTAGTCACTGAAAAATGAAAGCAGAACACTTAATAAATGTTCTTCTCAAAAGTAATCCTAAGGGCATAAACCATTTAGCTACACATATAACAAACTCTCTGCCATACAAGCTCTCTTGGGCCACATAGCACAAAACACAGTATATCACATTGTGTGCATGGTGGCTGCATGCCTAAGAATATGAGTTTCCTTTTCAAGAGCTTCAGGTTCTAAATTACATACTTGAGAAAGCCCCTTCTACCCATTACTCTGCTTTACAGCGTATAAACAAGAACTGCTAATCTACCTCTTGTCTCTCAACATCCATATTCCAGACAACAATTCCACCATCTGCACCACAAGAGATGAGCTGTCGCGTATGATGAACATAGGAGAGAGACTGAACTTTATCACTGCAAAAGAAACAAGACAGTTAACAACAAACCCTTTACAACTAGTAGAAGGATTTTAAGATATGACCCAAGGTAAAGCAACCAGCTGGTCAATGTGCATGATCTGCAGAAGAAAACGTACAAAATTTAGCAGCTGTACTATTCAAGTTAGTATCTTGGAAGGTCTGTACCATATAGCATATTGCAGAGTCTGCAATGTTTTTGGAAACGCCCACAACCTTGACTTGTAAGGTACTGGAGTGCTGGGGTAAACAGCAGGGGAGCTGTGAGGGGCCTAATCCTTGGTGTGGCAGCACAGCCCCAGCCATTTCCCTGAGGTGCAAGTGCCAAGCAAAATGCCTTCAAATGCCATGCTCTGGCACATATCCTGGGGGTTGCCTACCCTTGGCATATTGTAAACTTGGCCCCCATGGGGTAATACAGAATTTAAGACTGGGTGCTGCTTTTAGCCAGGATTTGTATCCAGATACAGGAATTGATTTCTCCAACTGAGTAGGCTTCCTCATTTTGTTGAGAGCCACGGTATCACTAATTTGGCAGTACAGTCCACTTACACTCCCCCCGCAATCACACACACCTACCCACCCACAGTTAAAAAGCTCTCTATTAAAGTTTAAGTTATTTGTTTTGTTAAATTGCCACCAATGCCTGTAAATGATGCAAGGAAAACAGAGAGCTGCTTGGAAAAACAGCTTTGTGGGCTGCTACCACCAGAATTCTAATATGACCAGGAGAAGAATTTCCAGATTCATATAGAATTGATTAGATTTCCCAAAATCCTGCCAATATTTGAAGATTAAAAGCTATTTTTAGAAAAAATAGGACTATTTTTCCTTTCATTATTCTTTGTTCAGTACCAAAACCATGCTCAGCCTTACACAAAGCAGACCCTTCCCCAGACAATCCATTACCTAGGAGACAGACATCAAACACCAAGACACAGGAGAAACAATTATTGTATTTACTTTAATCCATAACAAAGTTTTTTACCCCATTTGCCATTGGTGGTAGAAGGAGGAAGAAATAAATTGCATTTGGATTTGGCTAATGCCCTAGGGCAGGCAGCTGCTTTAGCTCTGGGCCAGGTCCAGAGCTGCTGCCACTATTGCTGCTGCCTGTCTGGGTCCAATTTGAGGCATGTGGCAGGCAGGGACAGCAACAGTAGTGGGGGCAGCCCAAAACATCTGTGCGCCATGTAAAAAAAAAAAAAAAATCACATGTTAGACCAGCTCCATGTACTGGGGGGTTGCCACCATCTGGCCCGGGCCATCATGCACTCCATGCCCCAGGCCAAAGCTGCCATGTAGGGTAAAGTGGCAGCTGGGATGGGGAGGCAGTCACTGGGGGGTTGCCACCATCTGGCCAGGGCCATCATGTGCTCCATGCCCCAGGCCAAAGCTGTCATGTAGGGTAAAGTGGCGGCTGGGATGGGGAGGCAGTCACCGGCGGGACAAGGTGTGGGGGTCAGGCTGCCTGCCCCTGCACTACAGACCTGGAGGGGATGAACTGAAGATGCCCCTTCAAACAATTAGATTCTACACATGAAAAAACATTTATAAAATTTTACATCTATAAAATCTAATTGGGGGGGGGGGAAGGTGGGAGGTAGGGGGAAGTAGTCTTAAATTCAAAGTCATCTTGGATTTGAGTAAATACAGTATTTGTGGTTTGAGTTGCCACTGAAGAAGTTTCATAGTTTCTAGGGTCGGAAGGGACCTGAGCAGATCATCTAGTCCGACCCCCTGCCATGGCAGGAAGAGCACTGGGGTCAAATGACCCCAGTAAGGTGGTCATCCAACCTCCTCTTAAAAACCCCCAGGGTGGGAGCCTGCACCACCTCACTTGGAAGCTGGTTCCAGAC